TGGCCATTTCTTCTTTATCATGAATAATCAACCTTGCATGTTTTTCTTCTGCCTCTTTTTTTCTCTCTTGTAAAAGCCCTCTGAAGTCTCTAAGGATCCTATCTTGTCCTTTATCCCATGCTTCCTGTAATTGTTTTTTGTATGCTAAACACTCTAGTAAATGTTCGAAAGTTTCACTTTGTTGACTACATATAATACACTTCACTTGTTTGTAAAGGTCGGGTCTTCTAATTGCCAGCTTGTTCAGAATTGGTAGCTCATCATTCATTAGTTTTATGAGGAAGCTTTTTCACTGCGATTATTTGAAGGAAGTGTCAATTATTATTTTATAATTTTTTCTTTGTTTATATTATAAAGATATATAATATATTTTTATTTTCTATTAACAATAAAAAAGTTAAAAAAAAAATAAAACTAACTTGTTATCACTTTATTTATTTATTTATTTATTTTTTTTTTTTTTAAAGTTCAACTAATGGGATGAATCTTTATTAAGAAATCAGTGGTACATTTTCAGATTACATGAATAATTCATATAAACTTTTTTAAACTACCTATTCTAGCCAAGTCCATCAATTTTACCATATAATGGCACCATTTTTATCAGTTGTTCTAATCTACCTAGACCTGTAGTGTTTTGAAGATTCACTATGAACTTTTTACTTTAATCTTTAAGGGGCTTATTGTATTTATTTCTTAGTATGGTTTTGTTACTGCTTGATAATAGGAGGTACTGTGAATAATCCTTACTGTATATAGTTCTCAAAAAGCTGGTTCTAATTTTGACTATTCCATGTATAGCAGTTATATGTTAATGTCCATATGGTTTAATAGTATACTACGCAGGTAATATATAGTCTTCCATTGTGACCGCACTTTTTAGATATAATCTATAGGAGTATTGTTTTCTTGATAAAATAAGACCTTAGGTCTCTTTCAAACTCTACTCACTACAGTTCCCATTATAACGCTAATGCTAATTATCAACCTTACTACAAGCTGTCCTTTCTGGTAGTCATTGGTTTCACAATCTGTAAAATCTTCCATTAATTCAAGTTTGTTACAACTTGTTATATTTTTTGATTGATACAGATAACTGAAATCTCACAATTTTTTATAAAGATGTTTTTCAAGAAAAGGCGAATATTCACATTTTCTGTTGAAAGCATGGATCAATTAGAATTGATTCCTGACTTTCTTTTAGTTTCTTTGCATATTCCGGATAGTGAGGATCTTCTCTTTTTACCTGATGCTAAAACTGATTAGGACTTGTGTGACCTGTTTTATTACATTATAATCAAATGGTAAGTTTCTATAGATTGTTTATATTCAAATATGCATGTGATTGATTAGTATGCATTCTTGTATAATGTAATCTAAAATGTAAATATTGTTTTGAAGTGGGATTGAACTAGTAACTTGTGAATAGAAACCTGGGAGCACATTTACTATGCTATTGATCCACAGGTCATTTTTTTTATTTATTAAAGAAATGATATAAAGTTTTATATATAATAAAAAATATCTTGTCTAATAATTTATATTACTTTATTGATACCAATTTAATTTTAATAATATTCTTTTATAATTATCATGAAAAATTTTATTTATTCTAATTTAATTTTAGAATTTTAAAGAAAATTATTTTTTTAAATTATTTTTTTTTTTTAAATCTGTAATCAGATTAGCATAGTATGTTTATTAATCTTTAAGAAAACCAATAAAGATATATTAGTCAATTATATCATGGCTAAACTAAATCTTATACTAACTCACTTGTCAATAACTTTCAAATTTCAAATGAGCTTAAGTCTCTAAGTATAATATTGGAGACAATATTTCACTCTGGAATAAGTTTTAATTAAAGATCTTCCTAAATTATTCATTATTGTCAGCAGGTTGCACTATCTATTATCCTTCAAGAAACTAATTTTGAGAAACTATAATAGTGAAAAGAAAAAATAAAAGGAAGAAGAATATTAAAAAATGTATAAATATGCATATATAAAAAGAAAAGAAAAAAATAAAAATAAAAATATTTTATATTTTACAAAGAATTTCTATTAAAAATTTTCTCTCATTAGGAACAAATTCTTCTGAGATATTCCTCTTCATTCTGACTATTTAAGAAACTTATTCATTCATAATCTTGATTATTTTCTTATAACTATTTAAAATACTTATTGTCTACTTGGATCCAATGTCTTGCTTATTACTTTTCTTCTTTCAATATTGATTTTATATCTACATACATCAAGCAATAACTAATTATGAATTCCAAATTCTTATATAATCTTTTAGTTATATTATATAACTACTAATATCTTTAGCAGTTATGACTAGTTAAAGAAATTTTACTGATAAGCATCTTTCATTGCCTAAAAAGTTAGATTTCTCAATAATCTTTTTGTTTTGTAAAAATAAAAGGGTCTCGCAAAGTAGAGGGATTTTTGTTGATTATGATATTATTATTTAATATCTAGGGAAATGAATTCTCAATTTTAGAGAAGGGTAGTAGTTTACAGTCTTTTGCTTTTTAGTTTTATTGCCTGATCAGGATAAAAAAATATTCTCCTTCATATATTTGCCTAACCAGAATGTTAAGAAGTTGAAGACTTCAACTTGAATAAATAATTATTTTTTTACTATATAAAGAATTTAGTGCCTATCCTAATGGTCTCATAATTTCTTTATTTCAGTTACATTTCATTTGGAGGAGTGATAAATTTTACATCAATAGATTCTCTTTCTTTTATTAATAATATTATTGAAATATATGAAGTGACTAATAGGTATTTGTTTATATTTAGCTACTAATATGTTTCATATCTATCAATTATATTTTACAATAAATTGTGTCACCTAAAATTCAAGATCAAATGAAGGTAGATAAAATTCTTTAGAAAATCAAAAAAAATTTTTAGGTAATTATAAGAAAGAAGATATAATGGGCAAACATCTTAAAATATAATTTGATATTTAATATCTCTTATTATTAGAAATCTCTATAGGCATACTTCAATATAAAAGATTTTAAGTATTACACTATTAATTTTTTTTTCCTTGCAAAACTTTCTTGCTATTGTTAAAGAAGGTGTTTCTTGACTTTTCTAAATCATAGGAAGTCAAGTTTTTATTTAAAAATAAATATAAATAAGAGAGAGAATTTAGGAATATCTCTTGAAATAAAACTTTAAATTAGTTTAGGAATAGTATTAAGATTTTATTAGTAAATAAAAAAAAAATTTCTTGCAAACATCTTTTTTGTGTATGGATAAAAAATTGATGGAAAGAGTTTTTTTATATTCTTTTCAATTATCAATAGTATTAATAAAATATATAAATATAATTAATAAGAGCTTGTTTATATTTTAAAAATAAATATATTTTATATTACCAATTATTTTTAGTATGAATTTATATTATTTAAAATTTAGAATTAAATTAAAGTAAGCAAAATTTTTTAGAAAATTATAAAAATAAAAACTTTATTAAAATTAAAATAATTAAAAAAATAAAAATAAATATTTTTATTATATAAATTTCTATAAACCTTTTGTTTCAAAGATTAAAAAAGTTTTTTAGTATTTTAGAATCAAAATTTTTTTAAAAAAATATTATTAATATCAAAAGTTTTACTTGATTTTTTTTAATTATTAAAAGTCATATTTTTCAATAAAAAATTTTATAAACAATAAGAAAAAATAATAAAGTTGTTTTAAGAAAAGCATTAAGATTTTATTAATAAAAAAGTATAAAAATTTCTTGTAAACATTTTTTTTATATATGAATAAAAAATTAACAAAAAAATTTTTTTTAAAAAATTTAAATAATATATACTGTGAAATACCGTGATAACAGTTGTGCGTTGTTACTGTATATATAAGATGGGCTGAAAATTTTCTTAAAAAACATGTGAAATGAAATGACATAATTCGCAAATAGAGTCACACAAACTGATGATCATTTACAAGTTGAGTTTCAATAATTTATTCGACTATAAGTTTAGTGAAAGAAACAGAAAACGGTGTAAAAGAAAAATTTGTTTTCATAAATTAATTTTAAATAAATAAAATAAAATAAATATATTTGAAGTAAATTTGAAAACATAGCTTTTTCAAAATAAAGTGATAACAAATATATTGTGCAAAATTGTCCATAAAACTTTCTAATATTTATTAAATTCGAAGAATAATTTGTTTGTTAGGTCGACGGTTATTTATATAAAGACCCCCTTCTCCATCATCATAGCAAATTTCTTCCAATTCTTTTTATACCTAAATTTTCAGCCACTAAATTAAATACTATTACGGTAGTGTCGCATTATTCACGTGATTTTATGTTACACATTATTTTATGTATCACATGATCAATAATTTTTATATTTTCCTGTTATAGTCGAGAAAGTTTGTTAATATGTCTACATCCCAGTATGTACAAAATACGCCACACCAACGAAAACACATATGTTATTGGATGGGATGTGACCAGTCGTTTCCAAATATGATGGAGATTCAAACACACCTTAAGGACCTGCACATAAAATTATTAGATAAAAGCATAAAAACATTTCATTGTCACTGGGGGAGTTGTAATGAATCTGGCTTTGAGACGAAACACAAATTGGTTAAGCATATACAAGAGAAGCATTTTCATTTGTCCAATGCTAGACAGGGTGCCAGTGTAAGTTTCTCGTTCTGGGCATTATTTGTTTGTCACATGATTTATATTTGTATTAACAATTTGACCGGCTGCGGCTCAACAAGAATTCTGAAGTCACATATCCTAATGGAGGATTGTCAAACTCGCAGTCAGTCCAACTTCACGACATACTCGGTTGTAATTCTGGTAGTATATTGCGATCTAACGACCCTTCAAAGCCGGTTTGTATTTAAAATTAATATAATACATTTCAAAAAAGTTATATAAATATTTACTTTCGGGATCAATTTTTTAACAGGCAAAGGAAGTTATAGTGATCGAAGATGACGATCAAGAATCTATTAGTAATTCAACACAAAACGAAAAGGTCATACAAAACAAAAATCATGCTGATTCTCCGGGGGTCGGTGAATCACAGGTTCGGTTACTTGCAAACTTTATTCAATGTTGCGTTTTCTCAATTATTTATCTCAGCTAACCATATTATTAACAGGATACTGAAATCACTAATGAACAGAGATTTGATGAAAACTGCATTGCTCAGGAGACTGCACGTTTGAATAAACCTAATTCATCACCCTCATCCACAGCCGAAATTGGAGGAGTTAATAAGAAAAGTTTAAATGCATCCAATCAACTGATAAGAATATCACAAGAGCAATCTCAACTTCTACCTAATTCATCCGCTGACGACATGGCATCGCAACGACTATCCTCGGTCAATTCGTCAAATACTGTTTCCCAGCTTTCCGCATTAAAACAGTCGTTTCGAGCGGTCTATCCATCTAATTCAACTTCGAGTCATCATGTCTTACTAGATCAGTCGAGACAAATTACTCCAACAGATCGGTCAACTCAGACTCATCTCGAACTTCAAAATCCGGAAATCCAAAATGCACAAGATAACCAAGAAAGCTTTGCTCAAACAACCGAAGATTCTTTATCAGATCAGGTAGGTAATAGAACACAGTAATTTCTTATCAAGTCATGTTGACTAACTCGTCTTTTTTTAGTTACTTCTCGATAGTGCGTTCGATTCGTTGCCCGTAGATCAACAAAATGAAAAGCTACGGCATTTGGCTTCTCTACAGGCACAGGAGATAAAAAGACTTACATTGAAAAACACGCTTCAGGAGAAACGGATAGAAAAAATTGAAGAAGATCTTATATTACAATCGAGGATTGCAAAGCTCTTACAGGATCAAAACCAACGTGCCGACGATAAGTTAAGATCAATGTGGGCTGATTTGTTGTGCAAAAAAGTTCGCATGCGTGAGGAAGAACAGACTATAACAAGATCTGCAAAGAAGCAAAGACAAGAACAAATAAGTACAAAAGAAAATAGTGATAAACAAATGGAAGTCGATTGGTGGGATCGACCCTTACCGAGTTCTACAATTTCGATTTTGACACAAGCTTTTGTTTGTGAATGGGAAGGATGCGGAAAAGTATTTAGAACAAAGTTAGCACTAAAAGCCCACATCCCTTCTGAACATCTTAGTGGAACTGTTTTACGTGTCAAAGTTGGTAAAATTACTCCGATTACTAACGTGTAGATTTAAGGATGAAATAATAATGCATTAGAGAAACGGATTTTTTTCATGAGACGATAATGCGCCTTTTTGTCTTATTTACAAAATGATTATCTTAATTTTAATAGTAGTATAGGCATTCATCATTAAGAATTAATTTTTTAAAAATGGAAGATAGAACGTGACATTAAGAAATTAAAATTAAGGAAAAATTGGTTTAATTGTTATAAATAATAAAAGTGTTGGTTTGATTGTTTAAAGTTTTATTAATATATAGCATTTTTTTTTGTGTTCACAATCATGTTATTATGGCATGTCTTTATTGAGACATAAAATAACATCTTTAATGTTATGTTGATTTTTATACAATAGCTTATTTTTACTATATTATTAGTTAAAGGATTACACTACTAAAAAGAGAAGTTTACTAAGTTTGGACTAACCAAAATTAAGTCTTAACTAAATACTCTAAATCAGATTTTGAGAACAATATTTTATTTGCCTGATAAATTAATACTGAATCTCTAATACAGTTGCTTCCAAAAGTTTGAGTCCACTTACTATGTTTTTATTATAAATTTCAACTTTGACAATTTTTAAATC